TGGGGAACAGTTCTGACCAGTGTATGAGCTACTGTGTGGGTGCTGACCAGACAAAGTGGAATTTGCCTTAGCAAGGGCAATCTACCTTTAGATGTGCCGCTTGTAGAACTTATTGGGTCCTCCTGCTCTGGTGCTGTTTGAAGCCTATCAATGGGTGTGTAGGTTCTGGGGCCTCTTGGGAGGGACTCCAGTACAGGTCAATGTCAAACACTGCCTATGACTGGCCCTGGGCAACCTGTTTGGAGCTACAAGGCAATACGAAGTTTGTAGCTGCCTCTGCTGGGTCTGGGTGTGTGTGGGAAGGGCAAAGCTGCACACCAAGGCCAGCTTCCTCCAGCACTGAGCCCAGGGGAGGTCAGCAAAATGCCCAAGGCACCCCAAGATCTGTCTCTACCTGCCTCTGCCTGCTAATTGCCTGTTAGACTTAGTCACTGAAAGAGCCTCTGGTGGTACTCGAGTTGCATGAGGTAGGTTCTTAGTGAGTCACAAGGTATGGGTAAGTGGTGTTCACCAGATTGATACAGATTCAAACTCAATGCCAGTGCTGGGTCTGAGGCCACTCAGCAAAAGTCCCAGGGGATACTAGGCTAGCTGCCACCCACTGGGTGCCTGCCGACCCTTGTGGTGGGATGGGGTCTCAGGGAGTTGTCAGGGTGAGGCCAGCCTTTTCCCATGTCTGCCCCTCCTACTAGTCTCAATGTGGCTTTTTCTGTATAAGCCTTGGTTATAAGACCTCTTCAGCTAGTCTTCAGTTGGTTCTTCCGGTTGATATTCTATATTTTAGTTGTAATTCCAGTTTGTTCCTGGCAGGAGGTGAGNTGGTTCTTCCGGTTGATATTCTATATTTTAGTTGTAATTCCAGTTTGTTCCTGTACTTTCCACCTACTCCACCTCCATCTTGGATCTCAACAAGTGAAATACTTTTAATGACTACTAAGTTTAAGATAAACCTAAAGCTGGTCTATGCAAAACGTCCTTCTGGTGAGCCAGCTGTTAAGGGTGTATGTAATTCCACGAAGTCCTTTAACCAGGATCTCCTAGCACAACTAGCCTCCATACCATTCAGGAGCCCACAGATCATTCTGCAGTAATTCTGTGAACTCTTGCTTTCCTAAGGAGCTTGCTCCTGGTGGCTGGCTGTGCTGTCCCTGGCCTGGGCTGAGCACTGTGACCTTGTACTGTCACTAGAGGGAACCCAGGGACAGAGAGAGGTGTTTAACACCCTTCTTGGTCCTGTTTTCTCTTCCCCACAATCTTTATTTCACCAGATAAATGAGGAGAAATCGAAAATGAGGCACTGAAGGGAAAAACAAGCTTGGTAATAAATAAATAATAAAGAAAATCTCTCTTTATAAACTATTCCCTTTTCCCCAGAGAGATTATGCAAAAGGTGCAGAATTCTGAGAGCTGACACAATTAGGAAGTGAGGACCAGTAATCTTGTTAAAAATTGGGTTACAGCATGAGCAACTGGTGCCCTTAGATCTTTACAAATGGAGAAAGTGAATCCAGAGCAGTTCTCTGTGGGAATTAGCAGGAACATGCTCTCTGACCTCATACACACCTGGGTTCCATTTTCTTTCTTTCTCTCCCTAGCTACATAATTATGGACAAGTTACTTAACCTCTTTAAGCCTCTGTTTTCTCATCTATAAAATGTGGCTAGCAATGGGACCTGCTCTTAGGTGGTTGTGAGCATTACATAATACAATGGATACAAAAGGCTTGGCATACAGTAAATGCTCAGTCAGTGTTGGCCACTGTTATTATTTCTGGTTCTCACCTTCCTCCTAAGCGGTTTCCTGTTTCCAGCTGTCCACTTGTTATTTCTACCTAATTATCCCATCACTGCCTCAAACTTAACATGTCTGAGAACAACTCCTCATCTCCCTTACTAACTCCCTGACCTGCTGTTGTTTTCGATTGGCTATTTCTTCAAATGGACATAAAACATATCATCCTCTCTAACACTTCCTCTCCTTCCATAACTATATTCAATTAGTTTACAAAACAAGTTGATTTGCTCTCTAATGTGTCTCCATCTGGTTTCTTTTTCGCTGTTGTCACCAGTAGCCAGGCCTTAGAGAACTGCTCTTTGCCCCCAGGTCCTGCCTCAAATGGGTAGATCTTAATGATGTCATTTCCATTTCCACAGTGGCTCCCCAGTGTTTTTCAATTAGATTCTAAACTGCTTAGTCTGGCATTCCAGACCCATCACAGTCTGACCCCAGCTGCCTCCAGATGCATCTCTCTTGCTCCATACACTCATTGCCTCTTCTCCTGTCGAGCTGGATGACGCACAGTTCCCTGGAATAGTTGTCAGATTCAGGAAATAAAAACAGGACACCCAGTTAAATGTGAATCAGATAAACAACAAACAATATTTTGTATAAGTATGTCCCATGCAATGGGCATCATACACACCTGTGCAATAGGACAGACTTTTACTAAAAAAAAAAAAGTATTTGTTGTTTATCTGAAACTCACATCTAAATGGGAATTCTGTATTTCATCTGTCAACCCAAGTACATTCCTGTCTCTGCCCATGCACACAGCTCCATTCTGTCTTGGATGCTCTTATCTCTTGCTATGCCCAGCAGATCTGCTTCTGCCCTTCAAGGCCCAGCTCAGCCTCGAACCTCCGTGAAGCCTGCCTGCACCGGGCCTTTCTTATCTGGTACTCCTCCTCGACTCCATTCGTCTGCCTCTATATGTAGGATGCCTTGTGTCCTCTATGATTCTCCTTCTCTAAGTAAACGTTAAGTTGATCAAAGGTAGAGATTGTATAAGTAGGAGAATTTAATAAACATAGTTTGGTGGTATGGTGCTGCTTCTGACCTACAATATAGCATGTGAGGGGACGAGAGCACAGGAGAAAAAGCTCGAGGGCACTAATCTGGATTTAAGGTGCTTATTGGCATGAAAGTCAACATGCAACTCTCTCCCCACACAGGCCGGGTAGGTATGGCTGCCTGACATAGGCATCTTCTCCCTACCGCCCCCCCCCCACATCCAACACATTGTGGACTTGCCCCTGACATGTAATTTCTCACCACTTCACACTAACTGCTCAGCAATCTGATTTCATTTGTATTTAAATGTGAGGGCCAGGGGTGGCTATACTATGTAAGCTGGAAGCGCATAGTGATTATAGCAATTATGCTGGAAACCGGGAAATACGTTTCTATTTAACTGAGAGAAAAGCTAAAAAAAATGGGCAGTTTTCCCCCAAAATACCAAACTCTGAATCACATAAAATATTCTCAGGAGTTTGAAAATACATCAAGAAACCTGTGAAACTATTAAGTAATTCCCAAGAAATCTATTTCAAATAACTGACATTTCATGAATATATTTATAAGCATCTATGGGCATCCAGAAACCAATAACCAACAATAAAACTTAAAAATATATGTTCTTAGAATAAAATATATAACATAATTTTGTCTGTTTTTACGTCTTCGGCAGTGTTTAAAGCATTTTTATTCTCATAATGTGGACAAATGTGTCAAGTGAGAAAGTTGTTTTGAAATGGTGAGGGCAGGAGTTCGGCGCCAACAGGATCACGGCAGACAAGGTCTCTATCGCTAGATTAATTAGGTCGCCTTATATTTCATTTGGCAGGAATAATACAATAAATTCAGAATTGACTTTGCAGCACTAGAATGTCCTGGAAATAAGTGCTAAGACTCTGTTCTATCTGTTTCTTCAGATCCATCATATTTGTCCAGATTAATTGTATTCCCCTCTATGTTTAACAATCTAAGTTCAACTAAAAAATATTGCTCTTTCAATTCAAGAATATAATACTTTGCTGCAGTTTCCATGGAATGAACTATATAACCTTCTAATCAGAAAAAAATAACCCTTAAATTCTCCCAGGAAAGGGAAGAGCCAATGAAATCCACAGTAAGACCATGGGTTGGCCTCCTGCGCCAGTGGCAACCTGGCTGGCTCAGCTCTTCTGGCTTCCAGCTTTGGCCACCTTCTTACGATAGATTCTAAACATATCAACCTCAAACTGGGAAAAGCCAAAGTAACAGCAGAGTATTTCCTTCTGCTCTTCCTTTCCAATAAACCACCAGAACTCTGTTCCTTTGTTTGATGTTGCGGTAACATTCATCAAGGCGCAGGTGCAGAGACCAGCAGCAGTGGACGCAAATGCGGTGCATCATTGAAATGATCATACTTGTTTGATGTCAAGGAATGCTGAAAGAATTTGGAATGTCCCTAGGAACTTTTCAAGTTTTTATGGGCAAAGCCAACCGTTCTTGGACTTCTTCCATTCCCTTTTGACCTTTCCACTTCCAAAGCCCAGTAGCATTTCTCACATCCCACAGAAAACATATGCTGAATCAATGTTTTACAATAATAATTTAAATGTAAATAATTATTGTGAACAGTTTCTATCACTGGAGCTGTTCAGCGCTGTGTTTTGTGCTTCTAGAAGGTTCTCCTTTGTCTGAAAATGATGTCTAGGAGAAGAAGCTTTGTATTTTAAAAAAACTTTATCTTCACTTAATTTTACGCAAAATTTAAATTTTAGTTAAAACAACTTTTCTAACATTGACCATTTGTGCTCAATGACCCAGTAAATACATTCTAAATATATTGACCAAAGAAACGACACATGGATTATTAATCAGTACTTCGAAAAAGATAGGAAAACAGACAAATATCCAGAAATTATTCTTCAAAGATGATCTTCAGTGAAATTACTTATATTATTCAATACCCTTGTGATCATGAAACGAGGGAAAACTTAGTAAAGATAAAATTACCTTAAGGAAACAACTACTTTAAAAAAATATTTATTATTGTTAACAACGGAAGATTTCATTACTGAGGCTGATTTCTACACTGCTTCCGAGATGTAAGCAAAGCTCAACGAAAAGTTGCTTGAGGACCTGCCCTCAGATCACATACACCATCTGCAGCTAATATCCCAGCTCATGATATGCACGTAGACACACCGACGGACAGTCTTAAAAATGACACTTACCTTACCTCCCAGACGTGGAATCATTGCAAGTTCCTCTCTCTATTGAATTGTCTCTTTCTTTCCACTTTGCCAACCGCTAACGAGTTTCTCTGCCACACGCCTAAACACCTGGAGATCCCTGCTCTCTCTTCTAAAATGCTGCCATGATCTCCGTCGCCCAAATCCAGTTCAAAAACAGGGAGAGAGAAAAAAACTTGCAAGCTGTTTACGCCTAACGACAGGAGCCGCTGAGCTTTGAGCTCAATGAATTAAAGGTTGCTTGGCTAAATGGCAGGCACACTTCCTCCTATTCTTTCTGAACTTCGTTTTCCTGCTTCCAGTGGAGCTTTTTCCTTTCCTGGGCTATAAATAGGCTGGTCGTAAGAGTACTGAGGAAAGAAGAAGGCAGGAAATGCATTTGATTTCAAAAAGCAGTCTTAGGTGTATGTGTGTGTGTGTGTTTCTTGCAAGTGGATACCAATAAACAAACTAAGGAAAATTCAGCTTTGCTATGTGCGCCATACTCAAAATTTTCTTAACTTTAAGCTTAGAGTCTTGGTTTCTCTATAAATTGTCATTTCCCATAAGCAGAGATTAGGTTTGGAGATGTATCATTTTCTATGTAAAATACCATAAACAAACCTACATCTAAACCTTTATTTCCCAAAGGAATGCCCTATCAATTGAATTTCCTGGGGGAAATTAGGGAGGGGCGGACAATGGGCGATACCATATTTGTTTCTTTTCAGCAAGAGGAGGTGCAGTACTCTTTGAAGCAAAGTCCAACAAAAGGAAGAATTAATCAGGTGAACAAGAAAAGCAGGCACTTTTGTTTAAAAGAAATTACGAACTTGAGTTTATAAACCAGTCGTTCACTGGCACGAAACTAATAGATTGTCCATAGTCTTGCTACTCTAAGTTGTTTAACTTCTCATAATCACAACACAAATGAAAATAAAAATTAGATATTCCTCACATGTCAGATCAGCAGATCCACATTTTGGATGTGGCCTGAGGCCGCTGAGGTGTGGAGAAATAAGCACCCATACACTGGGGGATGGAAGTGGAAACTGGAATAAGCTATTTGGAGGGCAATTCTCAACTTCTTTCAAAACCCTAGTGTACACACTCTTCTAACAAGAGGCTCTAACGTGGCCGATTCCGCGAAGTGGGAGTGTAGATCTGCAATGGGGGACAGTTTCGTTTGTGATGTATGTACTTTGTGCTCTTTTAATTTTTACACTGTGTGTGCTTTAAAACAGTAATTTTTAAGACAGAATTTTAAAAAGTGTTATTACTTTGTCTGATTCTATAGATAGCTATTATATAGCTACTGATCATCACACACTTAATGCTCGTCAACAAGCTGCTCTTGATATTGGGGTAATATTCAGAGAAGCAATTCAGGGGTCGCTAGAGAATTTCCCCGAAGGAGGGGCTACTCTAAGCGCTGCTCACTGGCCAGTAGCATCATCGGCAACACTTCGGTCAGAATCTCGGGCGAGGGGCCCAGCAATCTGTATTTTGACTCCAGCTGACTCTGCTGCTCACTAAATGGTGAGAAGCACTGGTCTACAGAACTGCTTGTTTGTTGGTGTATAGTCCACCTTCTAAAAAGGGTTTGAGACAACTGATTTTTACAACGTAAGAGTAAGGCAGTTCTGAATGCCTTTCATACTGGCGACTCCTACTTAGGAGGCGAGGAGAGCTCCTGCGCGTAAGGCTGCGAGACACTCGTTTGCCAGGGGCCCTGGCGAGCAGGGGCCCTTGGAGGGAGGCAAGAGCGCTGGAAAGGCAGGCTGAGGGCATCGGAGGCGGCGACCGAAGAGCTCCCGCCCTGGGCAGGCCATGATATAAACGGATACGTTCAAAGCCAACTTTACTGATTCGTATATTTGAAAATTACAAGTTGCCCAAAATAAGACTCAACAAAAGAAAAGGTGAAGAAATTAAAAGCCTCCAGATGGAAGCGAAACACCCCAGTCCCTGCTCTTGCACAGGGATTGGAAGCTTGTTTCCTGACCTGGCCATTTCTGCCCCATCTGTGGCCATCGCTCAAAAACCTGCGTTAGAAACGACTGACCAGTGAGCTCGGCCAGAGCCGGCGAGGAAAAGCTAGAATATCTACACCCCAGGTGCAGATGGGGAGGGGAAGATCTC